GAGAGAGTGAGAGAGTGTGTGTGTGTGTGAGAGAGAGAGTGTGTGTGTGTGTGTGTGATGACTGATGAATGGACACACTTGAAGTCTCCGTCTCTGTATTTCCCGAAGGCCTGCAGGATGACGGTGATCACGGCCATCAGCGGCTTCACCACACAGAACTGCAGCGTCGCCTGAGACACACACACATTATTCAACCTTTCATTAAATAAAATAAATAAACACTTCAGAAAGACACGGAACTCATTCAAGAAGTGAACTGACTTCAATTGACTATAATGACCTTTTTCAGTCTTAAAATCACAAACAAACTGAAAAGAAAAAAAAATTATAAAGTAGCCTGGAATTAGCTGGAATTATTATTATTTACAAAAATGTAGAGAGTGTACCTTTTCTTTTTTACAACAACAAAAAAACCTTTCCAAATCAAGGTCAAGAAAAACCTAAAACAAGAAATGTTGTGTGATAAACACTGAGGACCCTCGTCATTTACAAATGTTTGATCCTTTTCCAATAGTTTGATCCTTGTATGACACAGAAAAGTCCAGGTTAGCAAATGTATGGCAAAATCCCCCAAAAATATATATAAAAAATATCAAAATAGTAAAGATTCAATCACACTATTTTTATATATACTTTTATTTATTTTAATATATTACTTTTATTCTGCATTGTGTAAATTAGTCCATACATTGAATATAAAGTATGTTATTTTTTTGTTTACATTTTTTGTACAAAAAAATTTAATTTAAAATAAATGATTATGTTTCAAGATACCATTTCATTTAAAATTCCTTATCCATATATATAGCTTTTGTCTGTATGGAATACACACACACACACATATATATACATGTATATACATATATATATGTGTGTGTGTGTGTGTGTGTGTGTGTGTGTGTGAGAGATACCTGTTTGCAAAAGCGCAGAAAGCCGATGGAGTAAGTTCTGCCCCACAGACAACATGTGCCGTAAACACAACTGGACCTGAATGAACACACACACACAGACACACCCCTCAGATCAGCTGATTTATCATGTGACAGAGAAGCAGAGAGGAAGAGTGAATGCTGAACTCACTGGATGGGTTTTCCTCTGATCTCGGCCATGATGGCGCTCTCGCCGCCCAGATACTCGTAACACAAACTCAAGAAGTTATAGATGACAAACGCTGCAGAAACACACATAAATCATCATCATCAGAACCACTGAAATCTACTTCATATCACAATGCTTGCTCCTTCACAGCAAACAGAGAACTAAAGAACTACAGATCCTGCGATCTCAGAAGGAACCCGGCTTTTGACTGTAACTGGATGACGACTACTGACTCATTTGGGTCTGTTATTTGAATATTAGTAGAAACATCTGAGACAAAGCTCATAACTTAACCAAACGTGACCGAAATCTCGCCATCACGTTCCTCACTGTGATTCATCACCACACCACACACCACCTGATAACATTTCTACATGCCTTACTAACATTTACAATAAATCATAGTTTCGACTGGAATTATCGTGCGATATTTATCGTCTAAGATAATATCGTAATCGTTGTTTTAACGAAAAGCGAGCTGACATAATTGAGTATGCCACTCACTTTGCCAAAAAAAAACAACAAACACATTTTGTGAATCCAAAAGCATTGATTGCGTGATGAAACCTATTAGAATATAGTTAGAATGCCCCTATAATTCAAGTCATGAAAGCAAAAAAATACCCCTGTATGGGTTTTTGTTTTATTTAAAGATGCGTTTTGTTCCTGAATGACTCTGTTTTTGAATGAATCATTTGAGTCAATGATTCAATCATCCATTCATAATGACAGTCCCTTGCTTCGTTTCTAAATGAACCAGCCGTTCTGAATGAATTGTGTGAATGAATGATTCAATGGATCACTCATTAAGACAGGGACGTGCCGCCACCTACTGGTGGTTTTAGTCACATATTTATTTATCCATGATAGGCCTAAACCAGCCAGACTTAAGATGATTAAAAAAAGCGCTAATGTTGCAAAAGTCATCGATTATGAAACTATAGGGCTTTTCACACTTGAAATGGTATAAATGTATAAATTAAACACATAATATAATACATAATGAAATATTATTACATTAAAATATAATTTATTTAGAGTAATTAATTAAACGCAGTACTTAAATAAACCACATTAGAAATGAAAACATTACATTTCTAACTGTAAATAGTGGAGATGCACGTCTGACCTTCGTAGCAGTCGCGGACGGTGTCGAAGTAGACGTAATACTCCTCGTTAGTGAAGAACAGCAGACTGAGCCACGAGTCGAAGGCGTAGATCGGCACGATGAAGAGGATGCGGACGATGTGCCGCTGCTCGTTAGGAGTGTTATAGTAGCGCAAGTGCATGTAGATCTGAGACACACAGACAGACAGACGTGATTATTTGATATTAATGCGTACTTTTAGATTTATTATCATGCCTAGTACATGTCAACTAACTAATTAACAAAGAAAGCTACAAGGCACTACAACCCGAGATGAAAATGCACAGTGTTTGTTACATGTGATCCACATGTTAATCCCACATGTGCTCTATTATGTTGTCTACATGTGACCACATGAGGAAAACATGTGAAATTCATGTGGTTCTTCTGTAAGGGTACTCATATTTGGACGTTTATTATTCTAATTAATATGCATGCATTAATATATGGATGCTGTACTGTAAATAATACAATCATGGCAATAATTTAAACACGTAAACGGAGCAGAAACAGAACTTCCTGTTTAAGTGAGAAGTTTTTGTGCAACACAAACACATGTGAATAAAAGCATGTCTGTGTGTGTGTGTGTCAGTGGAGCAGGTGGCTCTTCTGTCACCACAGCTTTCCGTGTGTGTTTGTGTGTGTGTTTTACAGGTTCATATAAGCTGAACTATCACAACACATGCACACAGATACCGTGTCTGCACCAGATGCGAGAGGCGTGGCGCGACGCGACAAAATACAATAGAACCCATTATTATCAGTGATGCTGTCTACACTGGATGCGACACGACAGTAAACTTCCTCGTTCTATCTATGACGTACTGACAGAAAGTTCAAATGATTTGCAACGGTTGCTTGTCGCATCCAGTGTAGACAGACTTTAGCTGTAGCGGCGCAATGACTGTCGCATCCGGGGTTGACATGGCGATAGTTCTGAATGCTGTTGCTATGCAACAACCTCTGCTCTCTGATGTCATGCCACCTGTTGCCACAGCAACTGCTCATCAACCTCTTTCAATACGTGTCAGCTGAACCTCTATGATACCACAGATATATTATGTAATTTGAACCTTACAATAAATATCATAATATACAAATATGGCATTTTCAGAAGTTTGAATTTGAAAACTGCCTTGTGTAATTTACATGTTTGCATTACAAAATGTGAGTGTTGATTATTATGTCTAAAAATAAATAGCAATTTAATTTAATAGTTGGGCTATTGTAACCTTTAATATTACAGTAATGTGTGAGTAATAGGGCTCACAATAGTTTACAGCATTAGCAGAGATTTTTTGTCCTAAAATTTTAATATAATAAACAGAAAAAAATAATGTAATAAATGATACATATTAATATTTACAGTAATATTAACATTATATTTTTCGCATTCACATTTATAAATAAATAAAATATTTGTTTTATATAAACAAAAGAGAATACATACTTTGACCATATGAAACATGATTAAATATGTAATAATATATAACTGCTTAAAGGGTATAAGCTTGCAGATTTTCAACCAGCCAAAAGTCTTTATTACTTATAAATATATAAATAAACGTGTTACCTGCCCCAAGATATTCACGTTAATTTATCAGCTAAAGTAATCAGCAGTCGTCTTTTGTGAAAACTACAGATCGTACTTCCGCATTTCTATATCTCCACTCACAGAAAGCCGGGTTGAGCACAATGCATTATGGGAGTTGAAGTCTCCCTAGTTTTCTGGCAAAATGGCCAGCAGTGCATTACAGCTTTATTATATAATTGTGTATTTTCACAATGCAATAAATCCAATATGTAAACTCTGCTTTAAGGTGGAGTCTAGAAGTTCCTCTGGGTTCAGTGTAAGAAACACGTTCATGAATATAAACATGTGTGTGGTACCTGTTGGCAGGTGAGCAGCAGAGCCGTCCAGGTGAAGATCCCAGAGATGGTCTGAGCGGCGGGGGTCATGAGGAAGATGGGCGTCTCCGGAGCGACCACCGGGGTCTCCCACGACCTGTTGTGACCCTCAGGGGCCACCGTAACGACCCCTGGCCCTGGCACCATGCCAACCAGAGAGTCACTCCCTAAACGCCCTGATAGTGACAAGCCCCTCCTCCACAGCAGAGCCATCTGCAGACGAGAGCCAATCAGAACGCTGCAAACACACCAGTGGGAGGAGCTAAAACTAGTCATAACCATTTAAATACAGGTTTTTCACTTGTGAAACGTGATGTACGGTATGTTCCTAAAACACGTACCTAAAGCCTTATGATACAAAACAAAAACGAATGATTTTGTGAAATCTATAGATTTTGCACATGATACTGTAATAATTGATGTATACAAGAATAAGCTCTAGATCTTCCTCCAGCAGCATCAGTGGCATCATCTGAACCGTATGCGTGTGATTCACGACTCTCTTCCAGGAAGTGGATGGTCTCAGTGTTGCCATGCCAACCCGGTCCTCTGGAGACCGCAGCATCACAACAGGCTGACCAACACACTGACAGCATCTGAGCTCATGAACATCTCAAAACATCACACATGCCAGCAGCTCTAATGGTAGTAAATGACACTATTTTAAGAGAACTATCCCTTTAAATCCACACAGTCGGGGTTAATGACATGCACTAATGGTCATTGGTCAATGTTATCAAAACAGCAGAGTCTAAATGCTGGACTAAAGTATTATCATCACACACTTACAAAAATATATACTAATACTGTGGCACGCAAAGATATTTACAAAGTACTGTGGTATTATTACAAGTCACAAAAACGTGGTATAGGCAGGGCATCATTTAAAAACAAGGTAATATCAGAGAACATCTTCATTTCTTCATCTTCATCTTCAGGATGAGAATCATCACATTTATTAACATACAATGATCGGGCCGCCATCTATCTGCTCACGAGTCACAAACTAATCAAACAACGCATCATTTCAGATGTTTGTGGTTTTATACAAATCTCCAGATCTGAACAGTCCATCGAGGAAATCTGCAATGCAAACACAGTGACTCTTTATCGACACAATCATTAATTTACTCGATCATTTCGGCGGATGATGATGCGTCGCGTGCGATGCGCTGATGCTGATGCTGAGGTTTCTCCAGCTGATCTTGACTTCAAACAGATCTCCTGAACATGCACAATAAAATAAAACACACAGTCGCACTCACGTTAATCAGTGGGCCCCGCTCATCTGCAGCTCAGCTCTCAGCTCGTTGTGTTCCGCGATGCGAGCGAGCTTCCATTCTCGGTGACGTCACCAAGCCCGCAGAACGCGACACTTCATAAAAAAACATTCATTAATAAGTCATTAGCACGCATTAAATAACGCTAAACTGATCCGCAGTTCCTGCAAATCTGAATACGGTAGCAGTCTGGACGCACCTGTCTGACTGTTCGGTTAAACGATTGGAATTAAAATAATATTAATAATTAACAGCAAACTGTATGATTCTATTATCGTGAACTGTTCATTTGTGAAATGAACATTACTTGGACACATTCACTTCTGATAACAGATCGAAATTGTAATGTAGATGCATTTTCTGTGAAGCTGCTTTGTGTGTAGGCTAATGTGAAAAGCGCTATAAAAATGAATCTGAATTGAAATAACGTTTGCAGACAAATGTAAATGGTGCCACTGTATGAATGTCTTCCAAAAATATAATAAAACGGAACTCGTACTTTTTAAAGCGCACAAGTTGTACCAGATAGTGAAGTAAAAGCATAATTGTTTTAAAAAGGGGTCATATGATTCTACTAAAAAGAACATTATTTTGTGTATTTGGTGTAATTGTTTAAGCGGTTTAAGGTTCAAAAAACACATTATTTTCCACATACTGTACATTATTGTTTCTCCTCTATGCCCCGCCTTTCTGAAACGCCTCGATTTTTACAAAGCTCATCGGTCTGAAAATAAAGAATATCTCTTTGGATTTGACACTTTAGTCTTTGCAACTTTACAGATCTTTTTTATGCACCAAGAGCTTGTAACACTCTAAAGAGAAAGGAAAAATTGAAATCGCATCATATGACCCCGTTAAACACATTCACAGCATAAACTGAAAACGAAATTACAGCTACAGGTTTCACCGCAAAACAAACGACTAAATTCAGCGGAGAAACATTACGTGTTTATTTAATGCTTACATTTACTCACTCAATACCAGCACACTTCTGGTTCATGTTTTAGCGTCTCCAAACTATCCTGTTCAATCCGGAATTAAGATATTATAAAAATTAACATTTAGAATTTCGGTAAAGCTGCTTTGAAACAATGTGCAACGTGAAAATATACCAAACTGAGTGCAAGTCCTGGAATCTAAAAGAAACTCAAGCATAAATATACAAAGCGTAAACAAAGTAGCCTAGAGATTCCCAGACTTAAGCTTGTTTACCACTTTACCATTATATATAACTCGTATATTAGCTATATATGACTCATACGAGACACACATCAAACTCAACATTTATAACTAATGTACATCAACTAGTATAATTGTTTGATTTATTGATCTTTACTATAAGAGCTACCTAAGAAATAAAGATCATCTGTGATTACATAAAGCAAAACATTCACAACTAAAAGGTAAGACGACTTCGATTAAATATACACAGCTGAACGAAAACCTGCTAACTTACCTTTCACACCGACAGGTTAGCAGCCATTCGGAGAGATTAATAATAATATTAATAATATTAATAATAATAATAATGCAAACTTATACTATACATGGAAAAAAAAATGCTAATCTATTTCAATGTGCATTCAGTAGCATCTAATGATTAATGATACTATTAAATTAAATTAAATTAAAAATTAAAGACCATCTGGAATTACAAATCAAAACATCTACATAATCAAAAGGACATTTCAAATCAAATCTACGAGTGAAACCGCTGATCTGTATACATTTCTATTAATGATCAGTGAGTCGAAGAAACCCAGTTAACTTTTACCTCTAAACACACTGATAGTTTTACAGCCGAGACACAATCGGTTTACGGTTATTAACACGCATGACAAAAAACAACCAAAGATCTGATGCTTCGGTCTTCAGAGCAGCTGCATGTCACTTTTATTTAAATGAACTCTTCACTTCTTTTTTTTTTTTCTCTGTAAAATCAAAACACTAAAAGGAGTGTTAAAGTCTTCATTTAAAACAAAACCAACAGTGCAGACGCATAAAAACACATCTTCCAGCTGTTTGTAAACTCTGAACAGTTTGGCAGATGTATACATTTCTATTAATGATCAGTGAGTCGAAGAAACCCAGTTAACTTGTACCTCTAAACACACTGATAGTTTTACAGCCGAGACACAATCTGTTTACGGTTATTAACACGCATGACAAAAACAACCAAAGATCTGATGCTTCGGTCTTCAGAGCAGCTGCATGTCACTTTTATTTAAATGAACTCTTCACTTCTTTTTTTTTTTTTTCTCTGTAAAATCTCAAAAATCAAAACACTAAAAAGGAGTGTTAAAGTCTTAATTTAAAACAAAAACAACAGTGCAGACGCATAAAAACATACATCTTCCAGCTGCTTGTAAACTCTGGACATGTTTGGCAGAAACGCCGTCACGCGCTCGTGTCTTAGAAATGCTTGTAGAATCATTATTGCAGTTCAGCCGATACAAAAGGCTACATGAGTACGCTTAAAAAACACAAGAGAAACGCCAATCGCAGAAACCCGATAATGCCAATGTTCGTAAAACACAACCAGCAGTGTATAAGTGCACAATCAACAATGTACAGCTGCACACAAACACAGAGCAAAAACAGTAAAGTGCACACATACACACGGTATAGCCGTCCCTCCGCTCACTTGAAAGTCTTTGAAGATAACTTGTATAACTTAGCAAAAAAATTAAAACAATGAACGAATCGTATAAATGTAACAGCAAACCTGACGGACAGATCACGAAGGGAACAGTGGAAGGTCTGAATGAGAGAATCCACAGGCAAGGACCGGACCTGCGTGAACCTCCCAAAACACAGCTTTTTCACTCCGGAATCACAACGAAATAATGCAAATAGCTCGTTTTAAGCACAGTTAAAATTCTTTGCATTGCCATGCTCGTTTTGCAATCAACATTTTCCTCCAAGTTCTCATTACTAGCTATCATGCAGAAAATGGCATTGTTTTAAAAGGTAAAGCGTTTATTTATCATGATACTAGTTTATTTTAATTACAAGCTAATTGCGTTACAGTATTTCACTGTAGTATAGTAAATATTACTGTTAAGGCGATGAGAATTAGAAAACGTCTAGCATTACAATACTGAGATCGAGTGAGCAAATGTGCCCAGCCATCCTTAAAATAATCACACACACACAAAAAAATGCTAATCTATTTCAATGTGCATTCAGTAGCATCTAATGATTAATGATACTATTAAATTAAATTAAATTAAAAATTAAAGACCATCTGGAATTACAAATCAAAACATCTACATAATCAAAAGGACATTTCAAATCAAATCTACGAGTGAAACCGCTGATCTGTATACATTTCTATTAATGATCAGTGAGTCGAAGAAACCCAGTTAACTTGTACCTCTAAACACACTGATAGTTTTACAGCCGAGACACAATCTGTTTACGGTTATTAACACGCATGACAAAAACAACCAAAGATCTGATGCTTCGGTCTTCAGAGCAGCTGCATGTCACTTTTATTTAAATGAACTCTTCACTTCTTTTTTTTTTTTCTCTGTAAAATCAAAACACTAAAAGGAGTGTTAAAGTCTTCATTTAAAACAAAACCAACAGTGCAGACGCATAAAAACACATCTTCCAGCTGTTTGTAAACTCTGAACAGTTTGGCAGAAACGCCGTCACGCGCTCGTGTCTTAGAAATGCTTGTAGAATCATTATTGCAGTTCAGCCGATACAAAAGGCTACATGAGTACGCTTAAAAAACACAAGAGAAACGCCAATCGCAGAAACCCGATAATGCCAATGTTCGTAAAACACAACCAGCAGTGTATAGTGCACAATCAACAATGTACAGCTGCACACAAACACAGAGCAAAAACAGTAAAGTGCACACATACACATGGTATAGACGTCCCTCCGCTCACTTGAAAGTCTTTGAAGATAACTTGTATAGCCTTAGCAAAAAAATTCAAACGATGAACGAATCGTATAAATGTAACAGCAAACCTGACGGACAGATCACGAAGGGAACAGTGGAAGGTCTGAATGAGAGAATCCACAGGCAAGGACCGGACCTGCGTGAACCTCCCAAAACACAGCTTTTTCACTCCGGAATCACAACGAAATAATGCAAATAGCTCGTTTTAAGCACAGTTAAAATTCTTTGCATTGCCATGCTCGTTTTGCAATCAACATTTTCCTCCAAGTTCTCATTACTAGCTATCATGCAGAAAATGGCATTGTTTTAAAAGGTAAAGCGTTTATTTATCATGATACTAGTTTATTTTAATTACAAGCTAATTGCGTTACAGTATTTCACTGTAGTATAGTAAATATTACTGTTAAGGCGATGAGAATTAGAAAACGTCTAGCATTACAATACTGAGATCGAGTGAGCAAATGTGCCCAGCCATCCTTAAAATAATCACACACACACACAAAAAAAAGTAAACTGGTCCTAAAAATAGGCTCGATTCTGGAGTGAAATGAGACCTGGGTGTGTTTTTTGGTGAGTTTCACGCATCTACCAGATTCAGTGCAGTTGCTCTCTAATTAAATCAATAAATCTGCTGTCGAAGAGTCAAGCAGTGCCTGCATAACATCAAACTGAAAATCAGTCCTTCAAGTTGAGCAGTGTGTGTGTGTGTGTGTGAGTGGGAGTGTGAGAGAGTGTGTGTGTGTGAG